AGTGTTGTGCAAATGAGTGACTGCAGCATGAGAAATGCTGGAGCTCTCCAACTGCACTGGGATCCTGAGCAACCATGTGGGCAGTGGGGTCCTGGCTCTTCCCTGTTCATGTTGCCCACAAAGATGGCTGCTACCTCTGTGCTGCTCAGCTATCCTGCTACAAGAGCTTATGCACAAGGGCTGTGCCTCCCTCTTGGGACACAGATCCCCAGAAGGAGCCTGGTGAGCCTGATGACCCTGGTGAGCCTAGTCAAGGCAGGTTCCCAGGACATTGGAGCTGCCCTCCAATGGCTTTATTTCCCAAAAGAGGTTGCCATAATCTCTAATTCTAGCTGTGGGCTGCTGTAAGCAAGGAAAGCAAAGACAGACAGAACTGAATCTAATGTCCATGTTCCATGATTAATTTTCCTACAGAAATCCGCCCATCATTTTTAAGTTCTCTGGAAGAGATTTGGTGCTTCTAGTGAGAGACAGAGAGAATCAGGAAAGGACAAATGTTGGGGGTCTCCGCAAATGCCATGATAGTAGAGAATAGTCTGCATGAGGCAAGAAGGAAAACGGTTGAACACAGATTATTTAGCCAGTGTTGTTCACACTCCTATAGTCTAACCCCAAACAGTGTGCTGTAAGTATATTTAAGGGCAGTACAATTTGAAACCAACTGTTCCCTGGTGCAATAAAATCCATTGTGCACAGGAGGCAAAATTACATCGAATCTCAACTCCAAGTCCATTTCACTTCCTCTAAGAAGATGGGTTGTAGAGATAGGTTCCATGTATTATCCAGAAGAGAATTTGGTGTGGTGTCAGTCATACAAATAGCATAGAGGTCTTTTGGGGTTTTAGCCACCCCTGACCCTGATTTTGGAAGGTTGGGGGTAGCTCTGGACATACAGATAAGGCAAAGTTCACCTAGAATATTGCTCATCTCTGGTCCTGCGGTGGAGCTTAATATGCCCTGGCTCTACAGACAGAACGGTCACCAAGTTATTATTGGTCTCTTTTCCAAAGCTTACGGGTGGAAAAACAAGCCATACATTTTTCCTATTGAAGAGACAGTCCTGCGAGTTTATCATCTCTGTTTTTTTTTGTACTTATCTGAGGGGGAAATAATATTTGTGCTCTGAACAGACAGAGTTGGAGAGAGAAGGGAGAAATAGAGAAAGAGATGGAGACAGACAGAGATACAGACAGACAGGCAAAGAGTGAGAAAACAGAAATGTCTTATGCTTTTCTCTTTTTCTAGGCTGGTTTATCAAATATTGTAAGTCAGGACCCGAGTCCAGGACCAACTGACAAACATTCCCAGGGGCATTTTTCAAATATTCAAATATTTGCATCCAACATTAATGGCCTGGGGCAGTGGCACATGATTGGGAACAGAAACAGAGATATTTCATTAAAAATAGTTCTCTGTAAACAAAATGAACTATCCAGCATAAGGATCAGCCCAAAGAACACTGGGACATGAGGCTCATGACTGTTTAGATGGCATGAACAAAGAGCCCTGTCTCTTCTCCAGGTTGGTACATCAAAGACATTTCAAGCATCCTCTGTCCATTACTTGAAGCCTAGGCAAAGAAAGCTGACACTGTTCTTCTGCAACTTAGCTTGGTTCATGTTCACTGGTGCTGCTTCCTCTGTGACCCCCCACTCTCCTTAGGATTGAAATGCTATGTAATAGGAAGAAGGAAGTTTCACAATTGTTTCACTTGCAGACTTAGAACGGTGCTAGCCAGGTAAAGGGCCTGCATGGCCTGTATGAGGATTGCAATCTCAATGCTGTTACTCAGTGCTTTTACTGAGAGAAGAGCTGCAATACGCTTGGCTTTCCATCTCCAAAAAAAAAAAACAGGTGAAGACCAGGGCCTAATGCTATCCTCTAACCTTCATATGCTTGCGTTGGCATTAGCACGAATTACACACACACACACACACACACACACACACACACACACACACACACTAAATGCCAGATGAAAAGGGAGGAACATGGAAAGAACAAGGCTTAGAAAAAGCCCCTAAAAGAACGTTATTAGCTGGTCACTATGATTGCTTTAAAAATTTATTTTTATTTTTCCTTAATCCCTTAATGTATTCCCCCACATGATATTTTGTTTATTTCTAAGATTAGAATCTAATTACATTTCTCTCTTTCCTTTCCCCTTTCAAACCTCACATATTACCCTCCCTGCTCCTCTTCAAATCCATGACCGCTTTTTTTCATTAATCGTGTTTGAATGCATGTATACATAAACATATGTGCATGTGTGTCTACACATGTATTCCTAAATATAACTTGTCCTGTACATATAATCTTTCTTGTTATGTGCAAGATCAAGGTTGAACATCTGACACTGTATAACCAATGGCTCTGAGGAACACCTCCTCTCCAACTCCAAGCCCCATTGTTTATTCATTGTTCTTTACTACATTTGAGGCTTCATTGGATTTTCCCTCTCTGGTTTGATATGTTTCCTGTTCACTGTGGTCATCCTTATTCAGCTCACATTGGGTCACTCATATTAGTGAAATGTTCAAAAGAGTTGGAGATGAATTCTGTCTCTGGTCTTATTTAGAGCAATGGCATCCAAAACTAACGAAAAGATTGTAAGATTCCCAAAATGGAAGTAACACCTATCCACCTATCCCCTTAATAAGACAGGTAGTTCTCTAACCCCAAAGCCCCTGTCTCAAAGTACTTACTTCTAGATTCTAACTTCTAAGACTCCCTGCTTTTGCTGAAAAAAACTGTCACTTTCCTTTTCTTTTTCTATCTCCCTTTCTCAGAATGCCTTAGACAAGGTTTGATCAGACATTTATAATTGCTAAGTTACAGAAAACAAAGTTCTGTTGTGTAAGCCACTGGGCCCATAGAATTTTCCTTTTGCAGCCTGGGCAGAAGGACTCAGTCATGCCATCATATTTTGTCTTGGATCTGTTTGTAACCCCATCATCTGTGGTATATTTGCCTTTCTCTCTGACAGGGGTACTTATGCTGGCATCCTTTGTGTTGATTATTTTAGGTTATAGTGAGTCCGATTCTATGATATCAGAAGCATTTTGATTACTGGAGCATCTTGGAGATTTTTGAGCATATTGCTCAGTAACACAAAGCTTCCTTTGAGTCGATGGTGCTGCATTCTGGTCTTGTAGTATCCAAAACTGGTGTTCATGGACCATAGCTGGAGGTTTTCAGAAAGAAGACTTATTGTGTGAATATAAGTGGGAACTTAACTGAAATAAAGAATACAAAGTTCCTACTGTAGAACTGAACCCAGCATTGGGGGCTATCAATGATCCCTAGCACTTTCGTTATGACATTTACTATTAGCAGCATGCGGAGTTCAATCCAACTTGCAGACTCATGACAGGTTAGATGGCTGTAGTTTTCTATTTTTCTACCCTTAAGGGTTTCAAGCTAGACTGCTCTTTTAGGGTAAAGTCCCAACAGGGTATCAAACCTCCTGCTATTCTTGGCTCAACAAATCAAAGTCACAGTCAGCTTATTTAAGCACCATGGCATCTGTTGTCTATAGAGGAGACAACTATCACAGAACCAAGTGCCTTTGTGTCTTGTAGCCATGGAATGAGTCATAGCTGCTTCCTATGGAGTACATAAAACCTGAACAACTAAATTCTACTTCTTATTCTCAACACTGATAGAAGTAAAGAAAGCTACTATGGAGTATATATATATATGTATATATATATATATACATTTCATATATATATATATATATTCTCTTCACTAATACTTCCAAATAGCAGAAATGTGAAATGCTAGTGTCATTCCCGTTTCACACATGGGTATGCTGTGATAGATACTGAGACATGCTGTGATACAAATTTAGGAAGTGCTTATACTGTTCTATAAGAAGAAAAGAAAATGCATGAAGTTTGAATAAACATTTAAAAAGACATAGATTGCATGTAACCACAGGAGAGGACAGAAAAGTTGGTCAGTCCATAGAAGTCTGCCACCAAATATGCCCAGAAATAAAGGGTCCAGAGGACAGTCATTTCACTAGTGTCCCGAGGCAGACATAGCCTATTTCTGACATCATATGAACTCCTTGTTTGTGTCTGAAATGAAAGGGCAGACCCTTTAATTATGTTTCCTCCATATTAAGTTTTTAAAGCATGGACAGGTTCTATTTATGTCCACCTAGGTGGCACTCATTTTTACACAATGACAGTGGGAAAGGGCAAATGGTTTTTTAGGGTTCCAAACCTCAGGGCAGGAGTCTGGCATGTATGTTTGCGAGTCCATGCCTGTGTGACCATATCTAGTCTTGACTGAAATGATTAACTTATCATCTAAGATAAGAGTGTGTACATTCATGCACAAGGAGTCTCTGGCAGTTCAATTAAATGGAGCAGAGGGATTGATGTGAAAAAAAGAAACCAAGAACTTCTAAAGGAACAAAATGTCAGGTTTTCAGAAAAGAGAAGAAGGTTGTAAAATGTGCTTTGCTTGGTGTCAATTTCTGCTCATTTCTCACATGACAAACCATCCTGCTTCCTTGTCACAGAGACCATGCTGGTGATGCCCAGGTGGAGGAGAAGCTGCTTCAGCTGAGATGTCACTTCACATGGGGACTGCTGATTGAAGACATTGGCATACCTGATCTGGAAATGAGAATCTGGGAGGAGCTTCAGTTCCTAGACATCAATAACCCAGTGCAGATGCACAACCTGCTGGCCTACGTGAGGCACCTGAAAGGCCAGCATGAGGAAGCCCTGCAGAGCTTGAAAGAAGCAGAATCCTTGACCCAGAGGGAGCAGCTGGACAAGAGAAGCCTGGTGACCTGGGGCAACTGTGCCTGGGTGCATTACCACAGGGGCAGCTTGGCAGAAGCCCAGACCTACCTGGACAAGGTGGAGAACACTTGCAAAGAATTTGCAAGCCCCTTCCGCTACAGGATGGAGTGTGCTGAGATGGACTGTGAGGAAGGCTGGGCCTTGCTGAAGTGTGGAGGACAGAATTATAGATGAGCCATGGCCTGCTTTGCAAAGGTTCTGGAAGTGGATCCTGAAAACCCTGAATACAACACTGGCTATGCTGTTGCAACCTATCGTGTAGACTTTGCTGAGGACTGTATTTCTCTGGAACCCCTCAGGAAGGCTGTCAGGTTAAATCCAGGAGATCCATATCTTAAAGTTTATCTTGCCCTGAAGCTTCAGGATGGAGGAGAAACAGCTGAAGCAGAAACACACATTGGAGAAGCTCTCAGCAGCACATCCTGCCAAACCTACGTCTTTCGCTATGCAGCCAAGTATTACCGAAGGAAAGGCTGCATAGACAAAGCTCTAGATCTCCTACACAGGGCCTTGCAGGCATCACCTGATTCTGCCTATCTGCATTACCAAATAGGACTCTGCTACAGGAAACAAATGATCCAACAGAAGGCATCCAGAAACAGGCAGCTCAGAAGGCAGGGCATCATGCAAGAATTGGCACAACAGGCTATTTGTGAATTTCAAAGGACTGTGGAACTGAGGCCCACATTTGAGATGGCTTATGTTTACATGGCTGAAATACAGGCAGACATTCACCAATACGAAGAAGCAGAGGCAAATTTCCAGAAGGTTCTGAACATTAGGAACCTTGAATGTCACATAGAGCAGAATGTTCATTTCCGCTATGCCCGTTACCAACAATTTCATCAGAAATCAGAAGACAAGGCGATCACCCACTATTTAAAAAGTTTAAAGATAGGAGAAAAGTCCTTTGTCTGGAGGAAACTTCTCACAGCTTTGGAGAAAGTGGCTGAAAGACGTGTTGACCACAATGTTCTACCTGTGGAGAGCATCGGCCTCCTTGGGTTAGTCCACAAACTGAGAGGGAACATGCAGGAGGCCCTGCTGTGCTATGAGAGGGCCCTGAGGCTCACTGGGGAAATGAACCCTGAGTTTTGAATGCAGCTCTACTCTGTGAAGTTGATGTAGTCATCACTGAGGTTGCTGCTCTCCTTCCTGAAGCTGTCTCCAGAACTGCATAGCTTGCTGAAATGCCAAGTTCCTAATGCATTTGCTCCTGCCACCTCTTTCTCACCCTCAGTGTCATGTCTAGAAGGAACTTCGGTCCCCACTACACCTCTTCACTCAATCCCTTTCCTTATGTCTGTACCTCTGGTAAGAAAATCTTCCACCCTCTCCATGAAAGTGTGCTAGACAAAGAATTCTCCAAAAGTTTTCTCTTTTAGGTAATCAGAAACTCTTACTACAGTATAATCTCAGAGAAAAACAAATAGCAAGGGAGAGTTTGAAAGCAGGAGATACTTTACCTTACTGGTAAATTATTCTCAGTAATAAGAATCTCATATTTAGGCAAAGAAAAGCAAAGGAAAGTTGCTGGGACCTTACAGAGTGAGGAAGACATAAGGAGCCTTTTCCAAATCATCTATGTCACTGTAAATGTGCTATATGTGATGCTTTTTACTCAGCTAAAGTATATTCAATAAAATTATTGGGAATCACAAGCCCTTTTTGTGTAAGTTGTCAATACAGTTCAAAAGAATACCCTTGAACCTACATAAGATTGAACTAAACTCCTTTACTGTAGGTGACAATGTTGTGACTGGGAAAATGTATGAGGCCACTGGCATTGGGTCCAAGATCTAGCACTAACATACAAACTGACTTACTGGAGCCCATTCCATATGGAGAGTTACCTTGCCAGCCTAGAAATAGGAGTGCAGGGGTAGATTAGTGCCTTGGTACTGCCTCAAAAAGATGATGGGGCAGACTTAGTAGGAATAGGGGAGGCCTTACCCTCTCTGAGGAGCAAATGGGAGGTGGGACATGGTGAATGGAGCCGTAGGAGAGGACGAAGGGGGTATTGGGATTGGAATGTAAAAAATCAATTAATTAAAAAAAACTAAGGATACTCTGTCAGTGTCCCCATGATGGCATGGGATAGCAGAACCACCTAACAGAAGTCCAATGAGCAAGCAGGAAGGAAAGCTATGCACCTAAAACCTAGAACTGTTTTGTAAAAATCAGATGAAGGTATTTCATTCTACCCAACATGGGGGTAGTAATGGTGACTGATGCTACCTTGTACAAGAAAACTGCAATTTGTCTTTAGGGATTATATTTGCTGTGAGCCTTTATCACTTATTACAGAAGTAGCAATTAATATTCCAGGTTTCAACTCCAAAATATTTGCTAATATTAATTTGGCTGTATATAGAGACCTAAGCTGAGTTTCTCGAGATCTTATTCCCCTTCCTGGCATAAGCATGCCTTGTTGTCTGAGAACTGTTAATATAAAACGGTGGATATAAAAACTAGAAGTCTTGTGGGATAGGTGGGACCTCAAGAGAATTTTTAGAAGGAACTTTTGGAAGGAACCTCGAGAGAATGGTGTAGCGTGAATGTTTCTCTTGCCCGGCTAGGTCCCACTGCCCTTCTCTGACCCAAAGAAACACGCAGACACTATATTAGTTAAGCTGTTTGCTGGCGATTTGGGCTTCTGATTGGCTTGCTCAGTCTTGATTATTTACCCATTTTTTAATAATCCATGTATTTCCATGTGGTCTTATCTTACCAGAGAAAAGGCCTGGGCCTCTGACACCCTTGAAGTCTGCATTGTGTCTGTTCAACATCTCCATAGAGAAGGGAGAGAGAGAGAACGATTTCCTGTTTTCCCTGCTTATAAACTGATTCTGCCCTGCTATGTCACTTGCTGCCAGGATTACATGGTGACTTCTCTTTATTACATTTCCCTGAATTCTCCTCAACTCTTAGTCCCACCTATTTTGCTTCCCTATTGGTCAACAGTGTTTTATGTATCAATCAGTAAGACAAAAATATACACGTAAGAACATTCCCCGTCATCTCCTCTGTTCTATCTAAATAAAAAGAAGTGTTTTAACTTTAACATAGTAAAATATATAACAAAACAGTTATTAAGTAAGAGCTATATTTACAACATTTAGATCATTAACATTTGGCAAACATTATAATATGTATTCTATCATCTATCCTATGTTTGTGAGTCTATAGTCTTATATGTAACTTACATTTTATCATAAATAAGGAAAACTATAACCATAACTATCTGTCTTCAACTCTATCAAAGACCACCAAAGGATAGTATATAAAGTCTAGAATTGACAGGGACATCTTGCTGCCTATACAGCCATCCAAAGTTCCTCTGTAACGTTGGGGCATCCATCTTCAGCCTATAGGCCACAGTGTGTCTTGCAGACTTGTCAGCAAAGCAGGAAAGTTTAAACTGTTTGTCTGCATTGGCAGTTTGTCAGTCATTTTGTTTTTTGTGTCCTTTAGAATGTCTCATAGACACTTCCATGAAACAGGAACCCTTCAGGACTGTCCATCTTGTTTTGCAAGTCCACCAGTCACTTTTCTGTGGGTCCTGGATGTCCAGTTTATACAGCAACAGTCAAACAGTTCAGTCAAGAACAGTTTCTTGCTCAAATGGCTAGTCTTGCTTTTTTAAAAGCAAACTCCATAACAAGTTTCTTTGATGCCCATCCTCCTTTCGGACATAAAGGTGTGCTAGGAACAGCTGTTTCTGTCAGGAAAAACTCTAAACCATTTTAAATGCCATATTCTGAAGGTCTTTGAAAGGTTTCAAACATATCCATTTGAAATATCTCTTTATTAGAAAATCTAACATAACTGTAAATTTGGCTATTTCAGGTGACTATCATCTTATTTAATTACAGATTTCATTTTTCAAAGAGCTGTATAAACACAATAGCTAAACAGGAGGAGACATATACTTATAACAAAATTGACCTCAAATTTGTATCAACAAATGAAGATCTATTCCAATACAAAGTATTGAGTTCAATATCATATTCTTTTTTTTGCTTAAAAAAGAGATTGGTTGTGATCATTAGCCAGTTATAACCAAGCCCATTTAAATGAAAACAAACATTTATAAACAATATTTGGGAATGTGGGCATCATTCTCTCCAAACTGCTTTCTGCTGTTTGGGGATATTGTAAACCATGGGGCTCCTCAGAAGACCCAGAAATCCTGGCTGTGGCAGTCTGCAGGCCTGCCTTGTCCCAGCTGATTGAATGTTGGGTCACCTGGGCCACTGCTTCACAGGGTCTTGCTTCATCAAAACATAGTCTGGAAGGTATCCGAAGTACACCAGGCTGCCCTTGAAATCACAGAGATCTGCTTGCCTCTGCCCCCAGATTGCTGGGATTAAAGGCATGTGCCACCACACCCAGCCACTCTATTTTTTTTCTGTTTTAAACCATTTATCCGGTTTCTATTCTTTCACAAGCCTGCGCATGTTTTTAAACACATTGTAAACCTTTAGAGGTTTGACTTCATCTGAATCTGTCTTCACTGTAAATCTTTACCTTTTTATGGCAACATGTCTTTTGTCTGCTCAACAACATTGCTAAAATTAAAGCTACAGCCTCTTTAGTCACTGTCTTTGCAATATGGTGGGGGTATGTTTACCACCAGCATTAACAGCTGTGCTCACCCCCTTGGCCTATGCTACCCTCAAGCACCATGCTGCCGGCTTGGAGATGTAGTCACTGCCACTGCCAGCTGCTTGCACACCATTCAATTGTTAGCAGGGCTTCTTAAAAAAATTCATGTGGTTTTTCCATTTATGCTGAGTCAGGAAGATTCCCTTAAAGAAGCCTAGCAAGTCTCTGCTTGTCTCTAGCAAAACATAGCCCACCTGATACATCATTTCCTGAAAGTTTCTTTTTCTTCTAATTTCCATTTTTTCTTCTCTATCTATGCATGTACACACACACACTCACATGAGCAAGTATACATGCATCACAAATGGTTCTATTTATTACAGAGAGTGGGGGAGAAATGAAAGATCAGCCTGAGACAGAACCACATAGAAGCAGCACTTAAGTCACATTAGATGAACATGGCAGAATCCCTTTCAGTTCCCTGCTTCCAGGGACAATAATGATTTGGATAATGAAACACTAAATACATTTCCATAAAAGAACTGAAGGCAATTGTGCTCTAATATAATTGGCTTTACCACACATGGACACCGATCATTGTCTTTTACCAAAAATATGAGTCTGAGATATTTTAGAAGCTGTCCTAGTTATTAGTGTGTTTCCCTACAGCAGCACTCTCCCCACTGCAGGACAACTCTGTGGAGGTTAAATGGTGAACAAGGGATAAACTAGCAGGAGAATGTTAGCAGACAACCTACAACACTCATCCTGTACAGTTAGGGATTCAGAAATGAAATCCCTCCCATTCTGCTATGTTTCACTTTTTAAAGATACAACACATAAGTGTTAAAGAAACAATCATTTTTCACAGAATAAGTGTGAATATTGGCAATCACAATAGGAAACAGAAAGCTCCCATGACTGAGATGACCTCATAAACCAGACCCTCCCCTGGTGTTGAACTGAAGTTGCAGTTAACTGTGTGCAGGAGTTTGAGTGAGCACGAGGAAAGTCCTGAAGGACAAGGTAGCATGTCTGCTGCCACCAGTACACCTGACTTTGACTTCTGACACACCTGCTCAGAGGGAGGAGTTTTGCTTGGGATTTAGCCTCTTCCTTTTGTATGAAAGTTTTAAAATGTGTCTTTTTCTTATGGAGGGTCAGTGACTTTGGTCTCCATAAAGTACTGGCAGTAGACAGAATACCAGAATGGTACAAATGTGTAACCATGCTCAGACATGGATGGATGTCTCTAAGGAGGTCTAAGTATGGAATGATGGGTAATCTATAACATCCTCCTAAGGAGATGGAGAGGAGTAGAGTAGATTGATGGATGGAATGTAGGAGACAGCAGGTTTTTAGTAAAGAGAAAGTAGCATATGAAAGCTGATGCTGAGGTTTATTTAGAAATCATTATCCCAATAACTTCAGTGAATCCAAGAGATCAACTCCCTTGGAAAAGTCTGTCTGAATGGGGTAATATTCTTTTG